CGCCCCCGCCCCCATGCCCACCACGGCCCCGCGCCTGCCTCCACGCTGCAAGTGGGACAGAAAAATATGACCGTGCTATGGATGACGACTGAACTCATCTCCTGGGTCGCCCCACATCACTCGTGATAGAAAACTCTGCTTTCAGCTAGCTCAACGCTGCAAGTGGGACATGGCCCCGCAGAAGGTGCAAATCGTGCTCTTTCATTTTAATGGAGGCAGAATTGCACCAAGATATATTGAGCATCTGTATAGCATTTCGAAAATATTTCCCTGATTCCAGCTTTCTCCTCCTCGGGCATCACCGACGGATTCGAACCACCCGACGAGATTGTCATTTCGAAACGTTCCTTTGTTGAGGAGCTACCAAACTATAATCAACTGAACGATCCTATAATCCTATAATGAACTAAACTATACTTAGTAATAGAGGCTTCAAATAAATTATCTGGGACGTATAAACCCCTCCCCCCCCCCGTGGTGTGTGAGTATCCCCTGAGCCCTTAGGCAGTGGAGGAAGTTTTCGTCCTTATGTGAACGGTAGGGTGGCTGGCTCTCCCTTCTCCCCGCCGGGGACATTCCTGCATGCTCAATCTTATTTTCCTGTCGCGCCCGGCTGGTTCCCACTACTTTGTTCACATTGTTCGTCCGACGCTACCGCGGTGACTAGGCCTGGTCTGACACCCGATCTTCCACAGGTGGTTCACACTGCCTGTGCAGTGAGACCTAGTCCAACTTTGTGTGATCTGGCCTCGGAAATACCGAGAACGAAGCTGCCTTGTTGGAACCAAAGCGACCTAGTCCAACTTTGTGTGATCTGGCCTCGGAAATACCGAGAACGAAGCTGCCTTGTTGGAACCGAAGCGATGTCGTGTGGCGTCACCTTCGCAGAGCGCCGGAACCGTTCCCGGACGGGAGATGCGAAAATAGCACTGCGCTTAGCGCACCGGTGCCGTCACCTCCTCCTGACCAGGCTCCGCCGCGGCTGCGCTATTGCGTATGTGCTCATCGTTACAGTGGAGCTGTCGTCCACGTGGGCTCCATGGAACCAACAGATTTCGCAGCGACCACGGGCAATTGCTCGTAACCGTCCATAAGCCAGTTCCATAAGCCAGTTCTTGATTGTTCGAGGCTACGCCAGAACCTTTTGGTTTTGGGCGCCTGAAGTTTGTGCTTTTGGTGCTACAGGCCCAAGAATTTCTATGCGGGGTACTACCTCGCCACAGGTCGCTCCAAGAGCACTACCGGATCATGAATCTGGCACACAAAAAGCACCATATTCATTCCAATCTAAAAGAGGCCTACTGTGATACCCTGAATTGATAGAAAGAGGCCCAAGTACCCGATCTTGAGAAACAGCCGGCCTACCCGTTCATGAATCTGGCCCAGAAACCATGCCAGATTCATTGTCCCGTTACAAGAGGCCATCGAATCTGTGGCCACAGCGCGCCTTCGCCTTTCACCTACCTGGGGCTAGGTCCCGCTTACACGAATTAAGACATACTGACCGTAGATAGCACAGATCAACGGGCAGAATTTCGTAATCCGTGCAAGTGGGACCTTGTCCCTGTTAAGGGGCAGTCGTTTGTCCCTGCAGCACCAAATGGCCGAACTTTGGGGGCCCCAAACCAAAAAGGTATCCTGGTTGAACTGACCGGCCCCGGTGCACTCGTCCCCACCCGGCCCTAAAGCTAGGTTCTATACGCAGCCACACTCGTCCCCACCCGCCCCTAAAGCTAGGTTCTATACGCAGCCACACTCGTCCCCACCCGCCCCTAAAGCTAGGTTCTATACGCAGCCACGGGCAAAACGCATCCATCTATACGCAGCCAGTCCTGGCTGCGAACACGAATTAAGACATATTGACCGTAGATAGCACAGATCAACGGCCAGAATCTCGTAATCCGTGCAAGTGGGGCAGTCGTTTGGCCCTGCAGTACCAAATGGCCGAACTTTGGGCGCCCTAAATCAAAAAGGTATTGGCGTGGGCGACGGCCTTTAGATATCATCGTTGAATTGACCAGCCCCGGGCAATTCAGAGTGATGTTATTCTCTTCGTCTGAGGATGTCTGGATTCGAACTTGAGTCTGCATTTCAACAGTTCAGGGGTGTACCAACTGAGCTAGGCACGCTCGTTCCCTCTTCCCATTTGTTGTTCACAGCCACTGCACCTTGTCCACAATTTCACCTTCCTCTAATAAATGGTGAGGTTACATGAACTTCCTACACGCAGCCGCCAACCGCAGGGACGAGACCGTCGCGATCCATACGCTCCACTGGACCTCTCAATCACTTGGAGCGATTGTGTGTGTGTGTGTGTGTGTGTGTGTGTGCGCAAAGGGGTGGGACGTTTCGGCGCAGGCTGATGACGCACGATTACTACAATAGCGTTTCTTGGCGTTCACACCGGTTGGGGAGGGGTTGTTCTCCACTGCCGACTCTTCGAGGAATTCCTCCAGCTCCACTGGCATTTCTACATTTTTTGCCCTACCTGGGATTCTGCCTAAGTTCACTGAAGTAGGAGTTCTCCTTTGTTCTCCGCGATCTCCTCTGCGTGTGCTGCTATTTTTTTCCAAGAATTCCCAGAACAAACGGTTAAATGCATCAGGTCACGATTCGATTTTTTTTTATTTTTTTTTTCGTATAGTCCGATGGACCACGGCGGATCAGATATTGGCCTCGGTGGAAATGGAGAACAGTATTTGCCCGTGCTTGAGGGGCGCTGTTCTCTTTAGAGTCCCGAAAGGGCATGTGGAGCGGCTGGAGCCCGACGGCGCTGTTCTCTTTGGAATCCCGAAAGGGCAGGCATGTGGAGCCCCACGAATTCTAACGGCACGAGCTCCGTTCTCAACTCGATCGCTTTTGACGAGGTGCTTCCTTGAAAAAGGGAAAAATAAAACAGGCTGACAACAGTGTTGCTCTTTTTTTCTCTTCGCTTTTTCTCTTCCCTTTTTCTCTTCCCTCTAAAGCACTGCCAGTGAAGATGGGGATGCCACTTGTGGTCGCGAGGCCGCGTGTGATGGTGAGCATTTTCTTGAGATAGTGAGAGCCGCTGGACGCGATGGGTGGAAGTCGTAGCCGCACAGTTCTCTGTGGTGAGCTCGCCTGCTGAGTCAGACCAAGAAGGGAGACAGTGCTGCCACTTGTGTACGCGCGGGTGCTTATTCCCCGAGTCTCAAGTTGTACTCACACTGCTGTAGCACAACCCGACGCCATTTACGGTCGCACGTGAATACATCCGGCCCCAGTGCCGTCCAGAAATAGGTGAACAAGTGCAAGCTTGAGTATGCCCTCACTGACGACGGCTGCCGTGGCGGTGTGTCTTTTTTTTTTTTTTTTTTTTTTTTTTTTTTTTTTGTTTTTT